ATTTTCTCCCATTTTGTAGGCTTTATGTTCATGTTCTTGATTGTTTCCTTTGCTGTGAGCAAGATTTTTGATACCATCCTATTTATTGATTCTTGATTTTCCTTCTTGCACTTCAGAAATCTTGTTGAGGAATTTAGTTCCTAAGCTGACATGATAGAGATCTGGGCCAACTTTTTCTTCTAGTAGGCATAAGGTCTCTCTAGTCTAATGCATAGGTCCTTGATCCACTTTGAGTTTTGTGCAGGATAAGTGATAAAGGTTTAATTTCATTTTGCTACATATGGATTTCCAGTTTTCCCAGCACCATTTGTTGAAGAGGATATCTTTTCTCCAATGTATGTTTATGGTGCCTTTGTCTAGTATTAATTAACAGCATTTATGTGGGTTTGTCTCTGTGTCTTCTATTCTATACCATGGTCTACATGTCTGTTTTGGTGCCAACACCATGCCATTTTTGTTATTAAAGCTCTGTATTATAACAATTTCTGGTATTGTGATGTCTCCTGCTTCATTTTTCTTGCTGAGGATTGATTTGGCTATTTGGGGCCTCATATTTTTCCAAATGAATTCCATGACTGAATTTTCTATTTCTAGGAAGAATGTCATTGGAATTTTTTAAAATATTTATTTTTTAGTTGTAGTTGGACACAATACCTGTATTTACTTATTTTTATATGGTCTGAGGATTGAACCCAGGGCCTTGTATGTGCTAGGCAAGTGCTCTACCACTGAGCCACAACCCCAGCCCTCATTGGAATTTTAATAGGAATTACATCAAACCTGTATAGTGCTTTTGGTAGTATGACCATTTTGACAATATTTATTCTGCCTATCCAAGAACATGTGAGATCTTTCCATTTTCTAAGGTAGTCTTCAATTTCTTTCTTTGATGTTTCTTTCTTAGGTCATATTTCTTTAGAAATATTTTTTTCGAGGCTATTGTGAATGACATAGTTTTCCTAATTTCTCTTTCAGTTGATTCAAGAATGATGCATAAAAATGCAATTGATTTATGGGTATTAATTTTATACCCTGCTACTTTTCTGAATTCATTTATGTGTTTTAGAAATTTTCTGGTGGAGTTTTTTGGGTCTTCTAAATGTAGAATCATGTCATCAGCAAATAGGGATAATTTGAGTTCTAATTACTCTGGCAGTTTCAAGGGTGATTTTGAATAGAAGTGGTGAAAGAGGGCATCCTTATCTTGTTAGTTTTTAGAGGAAATGCTTTCAATTTTTTTTCCATTTAGAATGATGTTGGCCTTGGGTTTAACATATGTAGTTTTTACAATGTTGAGGTATGTTCCTACTATCTCTAGTTTTTCTAGTGTTTGAACATGAATGGATGCTGTATTTTGTCAAATACTTCTTCTGCGTCTATTGAGATAATCATGTGATTCTTGTATTTAAGTCTATTTATGTGATGAATTACATTTATTGGTATTGAACCAACCTTGCATCCCTGGGATGAACCCCACTTGATCATAGTATACTATCTTTCAAATATGTTTTTATATGAGACTTGCCAGTATTTTATTGATTTTTGCATCTATGTTCATCAGGGATATTGGTCTCAAGTTTTCTTTCCTTGATGTATCTTTGTTGGTTTAGTGGTTTGAGTTTTATCTTTTTTGGTATCAGGGTGATACTAGCTTCATAGAATGTGTGTTGAAGGCTTCCTTTCTGTTTCACGGAATAATTTGAAGAGGTTTGTTGTTAGTATACATAAGGTAGAACTTGAAGGTCTGGAAGAACTTAGTTTAGAATCCTTCTGGTCCTGGGCTTTTCCTTGGTAGGCTTTTGATGGTGTCTTCAATTGCTCTGCTTGAAATTGATCATTTAAATTTTCTCTTTTTTTTAGTTGTAGGTAAACAGAATGCTTTTATTTTATTTATTTTTATGTGGTGCTGAGGATCAAACCCAGTCCAATCGTTTACATTTTCTTGTGCTCCTGATTCAATTTGGGTAGGTCATATGTCTCTAGAAATTTGTTGATATCTTCAAGATTTTCTATTAGAGTATAAATTTTCAAAATAGTTTGATTATGGTCTGTATTTCAGTAGTGTCTATCATATTTCCTTTTTCATCATGAATTTTAGTGGTTTGAGTTTTATCTTCATTAGCTTGGCTAAGCGTTTATCAACTTTATTTTTTCAAAGAATCAATTTTTTTCTTTCATCGTTTTCTTTTGTTTCATTTTCATTGATTTCAGCTCTGATTTTAATTATTTCCTGTCTTCTACTGCTTTGGTGTTGCTTTGTTCTTCTTTTACTAGGACTTTGAGATGTCATCTTAGATTATTTATTTGGTGACTTTCTAACTTTTAATGAATAAGCTCAATGAACTTGCCTTTCAGAACTGCCTTCTTAGTGTCCCTTTGATATGTTGTACTGCTATTCTCATCTAAGTATTTTTTCACTTCATCCCTGATATCTTCTGCTATCCACTGGTCATTCAATAGCATTTTATTTCATCTCCAGGAATTACAGTAGCTTGTATTTTTTATTGTTGATTTCTAATTTCATTCCATTATGATCTGATAGAATGCAAGGCATTTTATCTCTATTTTTTGTATTTGCTAAGAGTTGCTTTGTGGTCTAAGATATGGTCTAATTTAGAGAAGGCTCCATATGCTGCTGAGAAAAAAGCAAATTCAGTTATTGGTGAATGAAATATTCTATATGTTAAGTCAAAATAATTATTTGTATTTTTTTAGTTCTATAGCTTTTTAATTAGTTTTTATTTGGAGAATCTATCCAGTGGTGGAAGAAGTGTATTAAAGTCTTGCAGTAGTATTGTGTATGGTCTATTTGATTCTTAAAATTGAGACTCAATTGTGATGTATGTAAATGCTTCATTGTTTGGGGCACAAATATTTACAATTGTTACATCTTGTTGATGTATGATTCCCATAAGCAGTATGAAGTGTCCTTCTTTGTCCCTTCTGATTAACTTTGGCTTGAAGTCCACTTTATCTGATAGGAGGATAGAAACCCCTGCTTATTTATAGGACCCATGTGAGTGATGTTTTTTCCCATTCTTTTACCATCAGTCTGAGGGTGTCTTTGCCTATGAGGTGAATTTCTAGGAGACAGCATATTGTTGGGTCTTACTTTTTAATCCAGTTTGCCAGTATGTCTGTCTGTCTCTCCCTTTTGTTGGGGGGTGGGGCAGGCAGTGGGGTACCAGGGATTGAACTCAGGAGCATTCAACTACTGAGCCACATACCCAGCCCTATTTTGTATTTTATTTAGAGACATGGTTTCACTGAGTTGCTTAGTGCCTTACTGTTGCTGAGGCTGGCTTTGAACTCATAATCCTCCTATCTCAGCCTCAGGAGCCACTGGGATTACAGGTGAGCGCCATGGCACCTGGCAGTCTGTGTCTCTTGATTGATGAGTTTAGGCCATTTATATTCAATGTTATTATTGAGAAATGATTTTTATTTCCTGTCAGTTTGATTTATTTGATTTTTAATTTGAATTAGTTTCTCCTTTGATTGGCTATTCTTCTAGTATAGTTCCTCCCTTTGCTTTCTTTTTGTTTTCGCTTCTTCTTCATGAAATATTCCACCACTATTCCTTTGTACACACTATTCCCCTGGTCTGAAAGGCTCCTCTCAGCTTTTCTATCTGGTCAACTCCTACTCATCCACCAAGACCCACTGTTTCTGCTAAGTCTGCCCTAAACTGAGCTGACAAGCTCCCTGATCAAATCTCATTTGGCACCCTGTGTCTTCCTCTAACATAACACTTATGCTATTATCTCATTTGCACATCTCATAGAGCTCAAATTTAACATGTCCCAAAGTTTATTTCTACTGATTTTTCTATGAATGGGCTTTAGCAGGAAATGAACCTTGAGAGTCATCCATTCTTCCTCCTGAAATCTTGCCCTTGGTCTGGGGCACATGCTATTGAAACTCACCAACTCCATCCGAGTTATTAAAATGCCCAGAGAGCAACCATTTGGTGTTAAAGTGCTATTAAATAAAATGTATATGCTGCTATAAAGGAAACTGTGATCATCACACGCTTCTTCCAAGGACAGGAAGAGGGCTGGAAGGGAATAGTGACTGCAAAGTCGCTTCCCAACCTGTTCCACTGGTTACTATCGGCAAATTACTACACATCTAAGCCTCAATTTCCTGACTGGCAATTTAGGTGGTTACCTACCGATGATCACCATGAGCCAGGTCCCGTTCTTGGTGTTTTCAATATGTTAATGTATTCAACCTTTACATTATGGTGTAAGGCTGATACTGTTATCCATTTTACACTCGGAAACTGTGGCACAGTTAAGAACTGGCATAACTAGGATTTCACCACCGGCACTTAGAAGTCAAAAGTTCCTGTCATAAAATCCACTCCGCGATGGGCTGGGAAATAATGCGAGTCCAGGACGAGGACCGGGCATGGCAGACAGGCATTCTTGATTGTCTTAAAATGCTGAACATCTCAGCCTGAAATCAAGAAATACGACAAAGCCCCGGGTTTTCCGCGTGGACTCAGCAAGTGTCTTCCCTCCAGCATGAAAGGGGAGGAGATGAGGCCACCAGAGCCGAGCCCCCTTACTCCGCACCGCTTCCGGGTGCCCTTCCTCTAGGAGACCACTACTCCACGTAGAAGCGGAAGTAGCCGGTGGGCCGGAGCTCACTTCCGGAACTATTCCCGGCCTTTCAAACCCGGCAGAAACCAGGGCACCCTTTCCCACGCCTCCCCAGACCCGGGTTGACCTGTTTCCCGTGGGAGCCCCTCCATGAGTGAAGGTTCGGTTTTCCATTGGTGGAGTTTGCGAATCGGAGCTGCGTTTCCTCCATCTTTCAACCAATAGCTTCCGCTGGTTTTTTTTTTTTTCCCCTTTCAGTATGGTAAAGTCGGTCCCTCCTCCCGGCCGATAGAGGGCGCAAGAGTGCGTCGCGCGAAGACTGGGAAACTGTTGGGTACGGAAGTGATGTCATGCACCGGAAACAAACAAGTTTGAAGGACTGGGCTGGTGAGTTCCGGTGTCTAGGAGTCTTATAATCACGGTTCCGCTAGGCTGTGGTGAAGAGATTCGTTTCTTCCTGACAGCCTTAATGTTCAGATGAGAAAGATGAGGGTCCTAGAGGAAGAGGTTTCTCATATTCACTCAGCAAGAAACTCCCGAGACCAGCGCGCTTTCCACATGACTCCTCTGAGCGTAGGACTATCCTTGAGGTGGGCGTGGGTAGGTTTCCCCTTGAGGAGTTCCCGAGGCTGATCTCGCAGACATGTCCCCATTCCACAAATGGAAGAAAGGAAAGCTCGAGAGGGACGTCCGGCATAAGGAACTTTCCAGGGCAAGGTTACCAGATTTAGCAAATAAAATGCAGGACTCCCGGTTAAAGTTGAATTTCAAATAAACGACGAGTAATGCCTTATCATAAGAATACCTCAAGTATCTGAATTCAAATTTAGCTGTGTGTTCAGAATTTTATCGGGTGGTCCTACCCAGGGTCACCTAGGGTAGCCATTGAGGTATCCTGTATGCCTATGTATGTCCCTCGGCTTAGGTCTCACCAAGTGTGGAGCTGGGTTCTTCCCAAGAATTACCCTGAGGTTATTTTCAGCTCCCCTCACCCCCCAGCTCCTTCCAATGGTCACTGCACGTTCTAGGGCCACTCAGGAGCTAAGCAGAAGGGGCAAGATGCCCCTCCTTGGAATTCAGGGGTATCCTCCATCCTCTGAGCTAGTTTAAAAGACTAGTCAAAAACACTAAGGAACTGATATGTGAGAAAGGGGCATGAGATGAAGTCAGTGATTTAGACAAGGGTCTCCGGCAATTCAGCTTTTATTGGCATCCCTGTGGGAATCAGCTGAAGGGTTTTCAGAAGAGGACTACCAAGATTGAATTTGTTTTTCACAAAGACCCTTGGACCACCAAGAGGTCAGAACAAATCATCTTATAGGGCTTTAGCTGCTCATCCCATAGATGCCAGAAAGGACTTAAAAGCAGCAAAGGGAGGATAAAACCCCCATGCTATTGCCTCTCCTGTGGTCACTTTACAACTGGAAGGGCTGGCATGGACAGGGTTTCCAGGAAGTGGGGTGGGGGAAATGGCTCCCATGGAGAGATTAACCTATTTCTGTGTCCCTCCTGAGCAGGGGCAGACAGAGATGACAACCTATCTCCCTCTGTTCCCATGGGCTAAGCCTGCCTTTCCCAGGGTGGGTGCAGGGTAAAGGAGGTATGTGCTAACACCAGTCCATCATTTCTTCTGTCCCTATACCTTTTGTTACTCTTTCATTTATCTTCCCAAAGGTCCTGTCATGCTTGTGTTTCAGAAGCATACAAGGCTTCCTACTTCAGAATTGGCTTTCTGTTTCAAGGCCCTCAATGAGTCTACTGCATTGAGCTCCTTAAAGACTGAGGGACTCAACTCTGCATCACAGTATCAACCACAAGGCCCCAGTAAGTACTCAATAAATGCCCAAGAAATTACCTTCCAATGCCATTTATTGTGTACCTAAGGATATGGTAGGCCTTAGCATATCCATTTTCTTATTTAATCCTCACAATAACTCTGAGGTCAACATATTCAGCAGTCATGTTTTACAAATGAGTTAATAGATTCAGACAGGTCCTGTTATTGATTTGGCATATATTTCTGAGCATTTGCTCGGTTCTGAGTAATAAGGACAATGCAATGAAAAAATAAATTTGGTTCCTGCTGCTAAGGAGCTCACATCCTACAGGGGCTGATGATACCCACACAAACATGCTGTGAAGTATGTCAAGTGGTGATAAATGCTGCAAAGAAAAAGAAAACCAGTTAAGGGGAAAGAGACTGGGAAGTACTGTTTTCTAAAGGGTGATTCTGGAAGGCTTTATATAAAAGGAAACTTTTGAGCAGAACCTGAATGAAGCAAGCAGTTCCCACAGGGAGGATCATTGTAGAGAAAGGAGAGCGTAAATGCAGGCCCAGCAGTGGGATATTTGAGAAATGGGAGAGGAGACTGGTGTGATCAGGACCAGTGGGGCAGGGAGGAGTGGGAGTCAGAGGTCGTTGTTGAACTTTAAGTGTTATTGTGGGTGAAATGGAGTAACAGGATTTAGCTGCTGAGTGAGGATGGCCTGTGCAAGGGAGGAGGGGACTCACCTGAGAGGGAGAGGGTGGGGGTCTATCTGTAGCTGTTGGGTCTGTTGACCTCCCAGAGTGAGTGAACACACAGGAGCTTCAGAGGTGTGATGCAGGCAGGTGTAGGCAGTGTTGGGAGGAGGATGTCCCAAGGCAGATGGGTCTCAGGGCCTCTGCCAACAGACTGCTTAGCAGGGAGCTCCAAGGGGATAAATGCCTATGCAGCCAGGGCTCCGGGAGACCTCTGGTGAAATCTTCTGCGTGCACACATGCACGCGCGCGCGCACGCACACACACACACACACACACACAGGCCTGAAGCCTTTACCATTCTTCACATTTAATACTTTTTTCTTCTTTTTCTTCAGAAAAAGATAGAAATAAGGAAAAAAAATAACTGAAAAGAAATGATGGTTAGCAATTATTCTCAAGTAAACCTCATCAAGGTTGTGTCTGTCTCAGAAAGGTAAATCCCATGTTCTCACAGCAAAGAGAATATGAACTAAGAGAAAGGCTCCAGCCGAGATATGTGTTCAGGCTCCCTGCCAGCTGCTGTCAATTCAAGAGCCCCAGAGAGCCCGCCCCAGTGGACCTGGCTCTGGCGAGGTAATGCGTGATGCCTGGCCCTCAGCACTGCCAGCCACGTCTCCCAGAGCCTCTGCCACCTCTGGCAGCCGATGCCAGTTCCAGAAGAAAAACTTGCATTTGCCATCCCCTACCCCAAAAGAGAAGCAGGAGGGGATCCAGATCTGCCTAGACATCTGAAATAAAAGAAGTCTCAGAAATAGTCTCATAGATGGAGGGTCAATAGTTCCACAGTATATGTCTGTAAAGCGTGACTTTGAGTGACCTCCAAAGGGGCAAGGGAGTAACCACTTGAGATTGCCCTCTGAGTCTCTCCATCCAGAGTTCTCAGCCTATTCATTATCAAAGTGCAAAAAGTAGGGGCTGGGGATGTGGCTCAAGCGGTAGCGCGCTCGCCTGGCATGCGTGCGGCCCGGGTTCGATCCTCAGCACCACATACAAACAAAGATGTTGTGTCAGCCAAAAACTGAAAAAATAAATATTAAAAAAAAAAAAAAAAAGTGCAAAAAGTAGGCCTAGCCTAGAAAAAAGGAGATACCTGTGCTTCTGGCAAGCACATAGTTCATTCCAAACACGAGGCACATTGCCTCAGTGGATGACCTCACAGCCATGTGAAGGCCCCAAGATTGTCTAAGATACTAAGGCAGGATAGCAGCTTACCCCTAAAAGGAGCTCAAGTAAGGATATGAAAACCATCCTAGTGAAACATCCAGAACAGGCAAATCCATAGAGCTGGAAAGTGGATTAGAGTTGCCAAGGGGTGGAGGAAGGGAAGATGGGAGTGACTGCTGATGGGCATGGGGCTTTTATTGGGGGAGATGAGTATATTCTAGAGTTGATAGTGTGAGCATTGCAGAACTCTGTAAATGTACTGAACACTGTTCACCTGTACGCCTCAACAGGGTTTTAGCCAGGTGCAGTGGCACACACCTACAATCCCAGTGACTTGGGAGGCTGAGGTAGGAAAATCCTAAGTTCAAGGCCAGCCTTGGCAACTTAGTGAGGCCTGTCTCAAAATTTAAAAATAAATAAATAAAAAGGGCTAAGGATGTGACTCAGTGGTAGGGCATCCTTGGATTTAGTCCTCAGTACTATGAAAGAAAAAAGTGAATTTTATGGCATATAAATTATATCTCAATTTTTTAAAGAAGAGAAATCTTTAGGGTTCCCAATAGCAGCTGAGAGAAATCTAAATTTTGAACTCTTTTGCTAAGCAGCTCACATACCTCAGGGTCATAGCTTGGGACCCTGGCAGCATGAAGAACATTTGTCCTGGTAAAAAACTGCCAGTCTGAGGAGCTGTCAGGGATGTTGGCATTGGACACAGCAGGACTCTGTAGCCAGCCTTGTCGTAACAGTACTACCTGAATGAGCAAAGCCAACCACACAGCAACCTCACTCTCTCACAGGTTGGGGCAGTGAGAGCAACACAAACATGTTGTAGACCTCTTGAGGGGGAAATGTGGGGCCAGGAATGTAGCCTAGTGGCAAAATACTTGTCTAGAAAGTGGGAGACCCTGGGTTCAACTCCTGGAACTTCAAAAGCAATAACCTCCTGGACACTCTTCCCTTTACCCTTTATCTTTCCTATGAGTTTCCAATGCTGTATCAAATACTCAGTTGTCGCTTCTCTGGGCCAGGCCTTAGACTAGTTGTCAGGTTCACACAGAGGCCACTGGCCAGTCATGAACTCATGAAGGAAGGCAATTCTGACCATGCACCTCAAACCTCACAGCACACCCTTCCTCATGGCACCAAGTGTGGCAGCCTCAGAGAACACAGATGAGTTAGAGAGAGTGGATGCCAATGGGTGATGTCCACATTTCAGCCAGGGCTCAAGAGTGTGGTCAGGACTGAAGTGGACATGGGCTCATCAGGGCAGGGAGGTCTCTCCCCAGGCCCAGCCCAGTCTTCTTTCTGAATTGAACTGCTAGGCTACACTGGAGTATTAAAAAACCTAAATATTTATTTGCTTCATATTTACAAAGGGGGAAGGATACCGAGGGAGACCCCAAGAACACCCCACGCCTGGCTGACCAGGCCGCTTGCGCTGCAGAGGAGGCGGACACAGCTGGAAGGGACAGGATTTATGTTGCATACTTGAACTACAGTGAGTGTAAGACTGGTCCTATTTACAGGGCAGAAACACTACAGGTAGAGTGTGGGGGCAGCAGAGTGAGCACCAGAGTCCTGGCCAGAGGGTAGCCTGCTTGCTGCCTTCCCCACCTCTCCCAGAGGCATCTCTGTGGCCCCGCTGGGGTTCTCCGGAGGGGGGGACAGGGCCCGCTCACATGATGCTCGCTGGGGTGAAGACAGGGCCCACACACAAGGTGTCTGTGATCTCCCAGCCACAGGACAGAGGCTTGCACATGCCCTCAGCATCTTCGTCTTGTTCCGCAGGCAGCAGCTGTCTTCGCAGCGCTTCCCTGAGGGTGAGAGAGGGGTGCTGGAGGTAGCTAGCAGGTCCTGAAGCCTAGGGGCTCCTGATGGCCCCTGTATCAGATTCTCTGGCCCCTTAGGCATAGAGCTCTCACCTGAACCCTAAGCCGAGCCAAGGGCAGGGGCAAGGGCTCTTCTCCACTGCCGTCCCCACTGCCCAAGAAGAGAAAGAAACCCACAGGATGATCGTTGAGCACTTACTGTGTGTCAGACATGGCACCAGGCACTTTACTTTCATCTTCTAATTTCATCTCCAAACTGTGAACAGCCTTTACCATCCTATCTTACTGATGAGGAAACAGACTCTGAGGAGTGGCCTGCCCAAGACCACATCCCTTGTAGGTGGTAGGACTAGGTTGAACCCAGCTCTCACTCTAGAGCCCACAGTCTTCATACCGAGGCTTGGGTCTTAAAAATAACTCATTCCCTGCTCCCCTCACACAGTCCCACAAGCTATTTCTCCTCCTCTGCACCCACGTGACTAAAGTTCCATCACCTGAGCCACTGCTCTGGCTATAGCTGGGAATCTTGTCCCCACACAGTCAAGCTCCACGCAGCCCAGCTCCTGAACCACCCACTGGTCTCCATCCCACTGACAACACTAGGATCACGACAGTCTCCTAGGATCACGACAGGACCACACATCTCCCTGACGTGTTCACCTGCTCTCACCCACTCCAGACAGTTCAGCACTGGCCTAGGCCCATCTTTCTAAAAGTCAAACCCTCCTCTTGAGCCCCCGGTAACTTCCCTTCACTCTCAGGCCCTGGGTCAGCCCTGCCTGCCTCCCTCTCCATGCTTACAGCCCTGCTTTTCCACACCGCCAGAGGCCATCACATTAGCCACTTCTCAGGCTCTCACATGTCCCTTCCCAGGCCTGTGCCCATGCTTATCATCCTGCCTACATCATCAACCCTCCCCTGACCAATTCCTCCTTGGCCTACATGTCTTGGCTTCAGTGACAGAGCTTTAGAAGAGCAGGACACAGCAGAGTCCTACACACAGGATCTCTCTCCTTGATATCAATAAGGCTTCAATATCTGTGACCCTGACATTTCTCCATTTACAGCAGTACAAGGAAACGTCTTGTGTTACTCCCTGCTGGTGCCCCTGCAGCAAGCTAGCAAGTACTCATGGGCAGGAAGGTGTGGAGCTGTCTGGACACTGGTGGGGAAAGAGCACTGGGCTCAGTATCCATGGACCTGGAGGGGCCATGCCAACTTGTCCTTACTTGTTCTGGGTTCTGCTTCTCCACAAGACCCTCCCTCTTCTGTTCTTTCATACTTTTAGCACATTCCAGTCCCTTACCTGCAGGAAGAGCTCCCTCTGTGCTGAGTCATACAAGTCAATAGCAAATCAGGAGTTGGTGTCTCCAAAGCCCACTGATGCTGGTCCCTTTCTTGAGGAAGGCTCTGGGCTAAGTACCCTCTGACTGAGCCTCTGTCTCCTTATCTTTAAAAATGGGTTGGTCCAGTTTCTTAAAATCTCTCAATGGCTCCCTACTACCTTTAAGACCAAGTCCAGTCTAGACCTCCAAGGTCCTTTTATTTTTCACTTTTTTTTTTTTTTATTGTTTCAAGGTCCTTTTAGATCCAGTCTTCCCCACATGCCACTCCTTGCATGTGGAGAGCTACTTGCAATTTTGTGACCAAATAAGACCCTTTCAGGCCTCTTGGCCATCCCTTTGGCCTGTTTTGGCTTCCTGGACCTGGCTGACACCTCCTAAGAAGCTGTCCTAAGCACGCTCCTTCACTATCCCTCCCTCCTCAGTGGCCTTTTCACTCTGTGTCAGCATCTCTGTGTGTAGATCTGCACCCTGGCTTCTCCAGTGCTCCTGTACTCCCAGGACCTAGCACAGAGCAGGTGGTAAAGCAAAGCATTCTGCTGAGGCCACTCTTCTACAGGGGATTTCTTGGCATGTCCATTCAGTTCGTCAGCATTTTCTCTTCTTAGTAATGAGTTCAGCCAACTCTATGTGACCTCCTCCACCTGCAGCTGCTGATGACAGAGCCAGGGAGGGAATACTAAGTCTGTGGGGTGATTGTTCTTGAAGTTTGTCTTTAGACCTTGTCAGAATGCCCCAGGTGGCAAAATCACCACAAAAGCCTATCCTGTGCCCTCACAGCAAAAACAACAAAGGTTTGTAGAATGCATGAATGAAATACGACTGTCCTGATGCCATATTAGGTCTGGGGTTTGGTGGTTTCCTGGGGGCCTGGGAACATGGGCCACACTCATCTGAAAGCCCAGGGGAAAAAAGCCCCTCCCAACTGCCCTGCCCTCTGTAGCCTTTTCCTGCCCATGGGGGGGGGGGGGCTTCCCACTGCCCAGCTGTATGACATCAGGCAAGTGACTCTCCCAGTGATAACACTGATCCCCAGAGTTGTGAGTAAAAGGAAATTACAGTAGATGTCCAAGGAAAGCTGTGCCCTCAGGGCTCAGCAGGCCTGACTCTCCATGTCACACACCTCTTGCCTCGCTAGACCCCAGCACTACCTGAGGCAGCAGGCAGGGCTGGTGCTGTGCCTTTTTTCTAAATAAGACTGAGACTCAGCCCAGGTATGACAGTTGCCATCCAGCTGGTCACTTGTCTGCCTCTGCCTCCTTAAGGTAGCTGGGGGGTCTTTACAAAATGCAAATCATACCATGTCTACCCCTGCTTCAAACAGGTCCTCGCTTCCTGCTACTCTTAAGTCCTTTGCTCAACCTTCATTGCCTTCCCAGATCTAGCCCTGCCCCCCTCTCCAGTCACAACCAACCTCTATTAGTGCCTTGAGTGGTACCTTGGATGCACCACACTTGTACCACGTTCCCTTCCCAGGAACTCCTGCCCACCTCCTTCTGCCTCTTGCCCACTACCTCCCACCCAGCAGTGCCATCTTGCAGACGTGTCTATGCCCCTGCATCCTCTGGGGCTGTGAGCTCCTTGGGGAGCTCCTCTGTAGCCACAGCCACATGCCCAACACAGGCCTCATCTGAGTCAGCCACCAGCAGCCACTTGTCAAACTAGGTTACATGGGAGAGGGTCTCAGATCTCAGCTTCCCTTATTTCTTCAGCCCAGCTTGCCTCCCACCTCTCCTCTTCACAGCAGGGGCCCCTTACCAGGCTACCCGGGACATGGCGTAGGTGATGCGGCAGGCCTGAGTTCCTCCAAGGAGGGACCCTGTGCCCACTGTGTAGGCTCCCATGTTGTCGAAGACCAGCCAGTCCCCTACATGTAGTTGCGGCAGCCACAGGCCTTCAGCCACACAGTCTCGGACATCAGCTGGGCCCCACAGGCTGCTGCTGTACAAGGGCTGCTCCGTGGATGGTTTCTGCAGAAAAGAGAAAGAGCCCTATCAACTCTTCTGGCCATTCAACACCCTTAACACTTCCTCCCTCAAAAGACTTACATGGCTCCTGTAGTCAACAGGATGATGACTGGATAAGCCTCCTAGCCTGGCATTTAAGGCTCTAACCACTTCTCTGTATTGGTTGCCTCTTACACTGGAAGCTACAATACCTGGTCTCAAATCCAGGTTCCAATGCTTGCTAGCTGTGTGACTTTGGGCAAGGTACTTAATCTCTCTGTGCCTCAGTTTCCTTATTTGTAAAATGAGAATAATAAATAGTATCTACTTTATAGGCTACTCAAAGGATAAATTAATTAGCATATGTAAAGCATTTAAAACAGTGGTTTGTGCCTGACATAATGGTACACACCCATAACCCTAGCTACTCAGGAGGCTGAGGCAAGGGGATCACAAGTTCAAGACCAGAATTAGCAATTTAGCAAGACCCTGTCTCAAAATAAAAAGGGCTGGGGATATAGCTTAGTGATAAAGCACCCCTCAGTTCAGTCCTCAGTACCAAACAAATAACCCCCCCCCCAAAAAAAAAAAAAAAACCAGCAGCTGGCACATGGCAAAGGCCCAAGAAGTTAGTGTTGTTATTGCTGCTTTTATAGTCATTGTTGTTATCACATCTGTGCTTCAGTCTTCACTGTACACTTTCCAGACCTCAGCTGTGTCCATACCACCACAGCCCTCTCCCATCCTCAGTTCCAGCCTATCTGCTGCCACTTTCCAGACCTCAGCTGTGTCCATGCCACCACAGCCCTCTCCCATCCTCAGTTCCAGCCTATCTGCTGGTCCCACCCCCTGAAACTCCATCTTCTATAAAGGTTTCTTGGATCCCCTCATTTCATATCAGATCCAGTGACAGGAACCCAAAATACACAGGTGGGTTAGACCATCCTTCCTCAAGTCTGTAAGGAATGCAGGCCTCCCCCAGTCCATCACAGGGTAACCTCACAAAGGACTCCATCGGGCAAACACAATAACTTCCATTTCAGGGAACAGGCTAAGAAGTTAAAGATTTGCTCAAAGGCACAACTTCCAATGTCAATATATTTTAAATTTTTTCTTGAATGACTTCCAAATCCAGAAAAGGAAATTAACACAGACCATTTGCAGGCAACCAAGATATCAGGGCAGTTTGTCACAGTGTAGGTAGGGCTCCTGCCAGGCAGGTCCTACAGGAAGAGTCACAACCGATGGATGGACATATGCAGATCCTAACTGCCCCCCAAGACCCCTTGGTCCTTCTGCTGCTGCACTCCATGTTCTCCAGTTTCTCCTGTTGCTCTGGGCTTCCCTTCCCCTACCCACTGCCTCCAGTCATGTTCCTTG